ATGTTCATAACATTCTCCCCCACTTAATCACTGGCGAGCAAAGTCCTTAAGATAGGACGGAACCTTGCGTTGTCTGGAAGGACGAGTTAATTTATTTTCTTTTTGTTCTGTGGCTTGAGGTCTATCTAGATTTTCTTCCCTTAGAGTACCGTCTAGTTCTGTTGGATTGTTTGAATTTGATTCAGACTCTGGGTGGATCTCTTGTGGTGGTGCTTGTCAGTCTATAATAGGTATCCGTCTTGGAACAACAGAACTATCTTGTTCGTTGTGTGTTGTAAACGTAACTTTCTTCTTGGATACAAGAGTCGAAATCAATTGATTTATGTGTCGTTTTAAACTTCGTCCAGAATCCAATTCAACGATGTAATGGTAACACTAGGTCTTATATAACATGTCTGACCAACCAGTTGATAACAGCCAAAATGTGCTTCGCTCAGAGAGCCCAACCAGACGTAAACAGGCACGACCGAAGCCATCAACTGGTCCGAATTGTGAAGACCCGACAATACCTTCCACCAGATATAGAATTGGAGAATGTCCCAAACTGCCTCCTAATTTTTGGCCTATAGGAGGAAGGCGTCTTCTAACTGCTAAGAGAGCTAATGCTCCAGAAAAGCCAGAAGCCCAACAAAATATCCCATCCTCGTCGCCAACTGAGATGACTTTCGAGTGGAATATCTAATATATAAAATTCTCGTGTCACAGTGTTTGTCTGCAAACTCCTCCGGAACGACTTCACCGATCGTTATGAAATTTGGTGTGTAAATTCTGTAGGTATGCGAATCGGACGTAAACTATTTCCCGTTTCGAAATTCTTAAAAGGGCTCCGCCCCAGTGGCTCTGGAGTTTCCCATGTTAACCTTATGAGAAATGGAATTAATGAATCTTAACAGCTGTTTCAATTAAACAAGTTGGTTCTGTTCTATGATGTTCAATAGCATTAAAGTTACAAGGATTACCAACAGGGTGCAGCACTATTATTTCTTTTACATTTATGACAACAGCTAATTTGCAACCAAAAGGTGAGTGAGCGTAGCGAACGAACTTCAACCTGGAGGCGAGTTAGCGTAGCGAACGAGCTAACCTGAAGGCAAGTGAGCGCAGCGAACGAGCTCCAACCTAAAGGTGAGTGAGCGTAGCGAACGAGCTCCAACCCAAAGGTGAGTGAGCGTAGCGAACGAACTTCAACCAGGACGTGATTGAGCGATGCGAACGAGATCATCTTGAAAATTAAACGTAACGGTACTTTCTTTCCATCGGTCTGTCTTAGGGGAAACCTATAACTTAGGCGATACGAAGTTCGCCGTGTCAGCTAGTTAGAATATAAAAAGACAGTGTTGAAATAGAAGTAACTGTGTTATAGATCAGAATAGAAAAGTAAACAGCATTTGATGATTAACATTTTGGTTGCTATGGTAACAACTGATTCATATGTTCATAACAGGGATTAATAACGTTCACCTTGATGCTGATTTTGTGAAGAAGGGGCATGTACAAACTCTTAAGCTGTCAGCGTCAAGTCTAGACGACGATGAATATAAACGAGTTAGAGTCCCTGACGATTCCATGGATGATGATGAATCATCAGTGGCTGATGAACAATATGACATTTGGTGGTTAAAGAGGCATAACTACTAGTTTCTTGGTAAGTTTTCCTCACAACTTAAACATATAACACCGACTAATGATACATTTTTTAATAATTGATATTAACTGGATTTTTTTATTTGAATTAATTTGTCATATTTACTTTTTCATTATTAAATTGGTCTTTTTCTCATAAACTGTCGGTTGCAAAAATGTTATTATGCTTTTTCGATTTTGCATCCAAAGAAACATAGAAAACGACACCCCACTTGCTTGGATCACATAGATAAAAATGTTCCAAAAATCACTACCTCCATAAACTTTAACCCCCATAAAATGGTACTTCCACCCCCTCAATCCTTAGGGACTCTTCAGATTCCAAAATCTAATGGTAAGTACTACGTTTCCAGAAAGTTACATGAACGGACCAATTTTTATGTTTTCTTAGGTGAGTTTTACCTGTAGCCTACTATCAACCTGCTAGGAGGTCATCATCAGGTGAGTAGCCTACTGCTACTAGTTGAGGCTAGACTCAAGTTCCGTATTGTCAATACCGAGTCCGCTCGTCGTATTTTATCGGCCGTATATGTGTATGAACGCTATGTTGTGGTGTTCGTGTATGTGTTATGTATCGACAACTTTTAATCCTGACGACGTGCATGTAAAGTAATCAAGTATCCTTATCAGTACCCTTGTATGATCAAGTAATCATCATTATCCCAGTACTCACCCAAAGATGACCTCCTAGCAGGTCGAAACTTGTTGTAAAATTCAACAATTGAATTGCCAGAATAAGGTATTTAAACAACTATAATCTATTGAACTTAATTTAACAAAATTTTAAAAATTTCAAAGCTGTAAGTTGTATAGATTTAGGAGAAAATTTTCATAACAATACATTCACCGCCATATCTTGAAAGTACAGGGCGTAGAAACCCGACGAAACCAGCGCTAGGCGTGCCTACGTTTCTCCAGCACAATCTAAACTGCCATCTAAATAGTATCTACAAAGTAGTGCATTAGAGCGAGAACTTAAAACTTAATTGTTTACCTTAAATGTTGTTAGTGTCTCTAAAGACAATACAAAATAGATGGTGAACAGAAACCTTATTGTCCAATCAAATTTTACAGTATGTCGTATTTTTCTATTACACTATCACTCTGTAATGGGTTAAGATTGTATTATACACATCTGATGCAATTACATACGGTAGTTTCGAAAATGTAAAATATGTAGAAGTATACGTGACTTCATTTTGTGTAAGGTAACTCTAGCCTACAAGAAAACATTTTTTTCGATATGGCATCGATTGCTACATATATCATTAAAGAAACTGAGAAATTAAATTAAATACTATGTGTATTATTACTGTAACTGCAATTATTGTCCATCTTAATGGACATGCAGCAAAAGTGTCACTATGAATTGTGTTGTTGATTAAGTATAGTGATCAAATGTATCGATTCCAGTGAAACTAGTAGAAATTACACTGTTTCATAACAGTTCACCACATAAAGTATAGTGTTAATTGAATGGACAAAATCAAAATATTATTTGCTATTACTTCGAATTTTCCATTTTTTTGTGAGTTTGCAAATTTATGCCACAAGGTACAACCCTGCTGCAGTAAATTTATTTAGTGTCCTTAAACGTGCCATATTATTGTAATGTAGGATTGCATTAATTATAAAATACAATTATATAATTGTATAATTATTATACATTAATTATACAATTGTGAATTAAAAAATTAGATTTCACCTGGATAGAATTGATCATCTGAAGGTTTGTCAGAAATCATTATTAAAATGTAAAAATGATTTTTGAATGAACTGCCAATACTTCAATTTTAGATTAGAAACTATGAATGAATATATCATATTCTTTTCAACAATGTGAATATTTTGCCCTACAAAATAATCGTTTAGTGAAAACTAGGGCCAATTTAAAACTCTTGCGGGCCAGATCTAAATATGATTAGAATTGTCACCTATTCTAGACACGATTATTTTGTAATTTTTTTAAATAAACGTTTGAGATAGAACGGCATTTTCGATGGACTTAATTAATTTTGACCGGGAACTTTATGAAGAATGAATAGGATTAATGAAGTAGACGATCCTTTTTCTGATGAAAGAAGTTGCCTTCTTCACAGTTAATTGGTTACGTTGAACTTGTTAATTGATAATTAATTTGTAAAGAGATCTTTCGTCAGAAAAAAGGTAATATTGAAGTGCTGATTTTAAGGTTCTTGACTTATAAAATTATCAAAATAGATTTATTGAGCTATAAACTTTAAACTGAACTCAAAGGATTTGTTTTGATTAAATTTACTGCCATAACGAAAGGACGTTAATATTTTTGAACCGTTTAATGTGTTGCAATGCTTTTATAGTTTTTGTAAAAATATTTTTATTTTTTTTAACTATTGTAAAATAATTAAAAATAACACACAACTTAATAGACACTGCATACGACTCGTTTATGAGGGGGTCTAACACGTTTAGGCTATCTATTAGTGGTAGCACGTTACAGTTTGAGAAAATATGTCTAAGGTTAAAAGGGTTCAAATATTTCCACGTGCTGTAATGTCTTTTTCTCAGAGTCATGGTCCTCCTGAAAACCTTTGTGCTGTCTCTCCTCTCACCTCCATACTGAAATTCTCTAAGAATAATTGAATCAATTGTTTTAGGTTTGTAAAATGTATTTGAAAGATGCTATATTGATTTGTTTTGCAAATCGTTTGGTAAAGATTTGTTGTGAGATTTTGACAACTCATATAGAAACCTGGTTACTCAATGTTAAGTTATTTCATGTAAGAGTTTTAATGTGTTGTAGATGAAATTGTAATTATTTCATTACATCCGTAAAACAAAATTGATAGCGAAGTTCGGAAACTTTGGGACTTTTTTACGTAGAAAAACAATACACTTAAAAATTACAGAATATTTTCCTATTAAATTTTAAGAGTGAAACACTTCTTAAAACCTCCAGTAAATACCTTATATTAGTCCTATAGGTATTAAATAGTAACCAGCAGTTATAAAATAAATAACTATAAAAAAGAATGAAGAGAACAATTTTGTTTTATTAAATTTGTTATGTATAAGTAAAATTGTCTAATTGGATTACATTAAATATAAGTTATAAGCTTCTACGATAAACATTTTAAAGAATCATTTTTAAAATTATATGTTAAGAAGTACTTATATATAATAAAAATTTTGTTATGCCGGATATCAAATAGTTTTAAAAACTAAACAAATCTGAGAAATGTTTTGTTTAGTTAGTAGAAATGTTGATTGCTGATAAAGCGGTGTATGTTTCTTATTAGAACAACTAAGCCAACCAATAAATAAATAAAACATTTTTTAAACATGCTGTAAGCTTAAACCAAAGTAAAAATATTCACCTGAAACCCATGATCCGTTGAACTGGGGAATTTTGAAGAAGTTGCTGGTGATATGTTCTAAAGTAAACTTTGTCCCTTGCACTCGCGGTCCTTCGTCGGGCGGTGAGAGAAGAACGATGGAGAAGAGGATGAGGCCAAGGACGAACACGATGACGAGGAGAGCGATGAGCATCCCTCGCCAGTTGCGAACATTGGGAGTGCTCGACACCAGCTCCTGGAACAAGATTGGCCAAGTTACGGTCTGAACAAGAATGGCCAAGTTACGGTCTGAAGGTTGTTACATGTGTTGTAAGCGTTGGGGGACATTGGCATTGTACCTGCAATTAAACTAGCAATGCTACATTTGATGAACGTTTTGGCCCTTTTGCAAACATTCGAAACACAGGACACAGGCTTCTGCAACATACATAGCAATGATTCATTTTGAAGCGAAATAAACTTTGCTGAGAATTGAAACTTGTGAGTGCAGAAAAACAACTCATTGAAAAAAAAAAAACAATCTTCTTTCCGGAGCCTTGCTGGTTTGCGGCTCTTTTTCGAACGGGACCACAATGTTTACATAAAATATCGTTACATTTCACTGGTTGTAAGAAAAACTGTTCATTAGTCGATGGGGGATCTGGTCTAGTGGTTAGAGCACGAGACTTTGGCCCAAGAGGCCCCGGGGACAAATCCCGCCAAATCATCAATGGATTTTATCCAAGGATTTTAACTGAAGTAATGTGAAAAAAGAATCCCAGGCTCGTGCCTGCGTCCTAGGACAAAAATAATTGTCGATATTTTTTTAAAGCATGATGACTACAAGTTAGCCCAGTACTTGGTCTGTAGTTATCGTAGTTTACTTTTGGTGAATCGGTTGCTCAGTCAGTATGGCAACGGACTTCAAACCCATGGCAGCGATGTGTCCAGATAATTGTACATCCCAATACATTTCATCAGTACTTAACCTTGTACTTTGCCGGCTCACCCCTTGCTTTTCCAGTTATACGTTCCACGCACAGGCACTGGCCTATGTGCATGAGTAAACGCAAGGTTAAAAGAAGTAAAACATTTTAAACATGTGCTAACGCTTATTTCACTACACCAAGATTACTCAAACCAACACAAGTAGTAAAAAGTTGATTAAAAGAGTTAGTTTAAAGATGAGTTGCAAAACTGGGTGATAACGAAAAAAACTTTTTTTTTTATTTTAGTCAATCCGAATATAAAGTTTTTGATACATTTTGCAATATATCTAAAAAAAAATTATAAGTAACGAAAAACGTACCCAATCTTTCACTGTCTTTATCAAGGTTGCTTTATATGTTTATTTTTTCTATACAACAGTCGTACATATGGTGGATGGATAAAAACTTTTTAGTGTTCCCCACAAGATCATGCTCCAAGAAACGCCCCATTTATGTTGCTTAAAGGTAACATAACAATACAGCCGAAACGTATACTATAACCAACAAATGTAGTGTATTGGATTGTTAAAATTTTGCACCCGAGGTATTGAGCTCAAGAGAAGCCTTGGAACTGCTTTGTCCTCTTATTTACAAGATTGTCGCTGTTAACTTTCTGCTAATGACTTTGCTTAATGTGCGGTCTTAATGGCTCGAACAAAGCGATATCTTGTCTGACATCTAACGCTAAGTGTTTTAAACCTTGCTACATCAAAACCCTTCTTTAATGTGTTTATGGTAAATTATACGAGGTTTAAGATGAAGTATGTGACTTGTATACACTCCTCATAATTGTAAGTAAAATTTTAAAACTCGTTATCAATTTTTGCAAATAAGCATTTATTTGCAGTTTGAGAGATATACATACGACTTATAAGTAGACATTTTTTTCGTAATACATGCATTATAATATGCCATGTAAATTAAATACCACACGATATATTTTTCTTAAAGCATACCTTAATGAGTTTGACTTTGTATACATAACTCAGCCGTAGTGCAACATATGTAAAATGTATAGGTACAAATTATAAATGATTAACTGTTATACTATTGAAATTGTCATTAAAATCTACTAAGCTGCATGCTCAATGCATTGATTCATACCACAGAGAACTAAAAGGAGATTCATACTTGTAACCAGGACATAGGACTATCAGGGCTACAAACGTAAAATGTATGGCAAACGTTAACATACATATAACTCATAATACATGTATTTACTGTTGTAATTTGTATGAACGTATATTGTTAGGTAACCTGTCATAAAACACGGTACATTTTAAATAACATCAACAAACAAATAATACACTAATTTAGTGCCATAGAATCAAAATTATGCTGCGACATTCGACATTTCTTCAATTAGCATGAGTGGGACATTCGTTTAGATTGCTGCAAATCCTTTGCAAGCCATCAAATCAAACAGTGCTCAATATTCCATCAGAGGCATTGTTACATTATGCCACACCGTTGTAACTATTGTTACACGTGTTGTAGTGTTATTTATTCACGTACCAACAGAGCAGGTAGCTCTAATTATTGAATCATTACAGAACCACTTACATCGCTCCTTCAATGTTGAAGACGTTACATAAATATAATATACGTTAATACCACCTATAATATACGTTATGTTATGTACGTTCATAATATGTTTGCCCTGACAGTACTTTGACTTTTTTACAAATACACGCTGATGAGTGGTTTTGAAGAGAAAAGCATTATGTTAGGTACAGTATAACTTTTGGAACAAGCTCAAAAGCTCAAAATAATTCCACACTTGGAGTTTATAGATATTATAAACTTATTAATCTTGAAATTTATTTATTAAAGGGTTGGAAAACATAAAAAAATTGCTAAAATATATATACATTAGTTTTATTTATTTTATATTGCTATCGGTATTTGATTATGGTGGTAAGACATACAACATACAATATTTTATTATTTTTCAGCCTCTTTTTGGCTCATTTTGAATACCTATTACGCTTATGATTTTATGAGTCATACAATGAAGCTAAAAACTCTAAGAAACCTTCAGGTTTTACTTAAACAAAAATACTGATACTGTAAACCAATTTTATGCATAAGAAACGCTTTTTAATAAACAAAAATTTGCAAAATGTCTTGATATTATTTGTTTTGTAGTTGTTTTACGTAGATGGAGTAATGCTTTAAATTACTAAAGCAGACACATCATAATGTAGTAAAAAAATGTTATCCCCAATTTTGCTATCTCGTAAACAAGTAAAACAAGCTTCAGTTATAAGCTGGTTTACGGATAGAAATAATCTTACGGAAAAGGAAGCAAAAGGTGGACCTCAGGCTGCAATATGTCTTGACTCGACTATGATTGGCCAAATATTGTACCTGTCGTACACCTTGTGTTCTTGTGACACAATTTTCTTCACAAAGCATCTGGATTGGTTCACAACACAACAATGTAACACATTATACCATGAGAAAAAAAGATAAACTTTCAAAATGTAAACCAGTAATTAAATATACTTAAAAACCTAGCGAAAAATTTATAACAACCTATTAAGTATTTTATATTATCAACATGTTTATGTCAGTGTAGTATTTTGTTTATGTTATATTTCTACTTTACTCACACAGTCAATCAGTAGTTAAAAGTCAAACAACCAAGTGTGATAATTACATTGTTAAATAATACAGAAAAAAGTATAGGTAGTTTTTCTAAGGGTCTTTGATACATGACGGGATCAAATAGCTTTATTATTTAAAGCCAAAATTCCCAAAACCGAATGGGGGTTTTAATACTAGAGGGTAGGTTTACACTTAAAAAATTCTCGTATAAGCAAATTTAAAATTTATACTTCAAACTAATGACTATCTAAATTTAAAAAGAATTCCTTGTGCAAATATTTTATGTCTAGAAAGATATTTATATAATAATATAATCAACTATGTGGATTGTTTTGGATATTAATTACAACTAGAGGTCATCCAGTGGTCGAAAACTCGACCAAAAATATGTAATTTACAGACTTCTCTATCATCCCACGCTGTAAATAAAGGTGTAATTGGAATTTCTTTCATTTATTTTGATTTTTTGTTTATATTTCGTCACCCGCATGGCAATCCATGTAAATTTTTTCTTAATTTTAAATTAATATTTTTTTATTATTTTTTAACCTATTTTAGTTTATTCAGGAAATCTGCACATATACAGGAAAATATATCTCTAACAGTATGCGTAGATTTTCCTTATGATGCACACGAGCTGAGATAAAAGGTGTTCAAGAAAATGCTTGCTTAATATTTAGGATAACATCAATTTATACTTTGCTCTTATTTTAAATACATATACAAACATGCATGTCATGTTATTTTGATATATATTTTGTTATAAAAATAGTCTTCATAAAGTTCAATTAAAGGATTGTTAATTGAAATGAGAATAAAAGAGCAACAAGAATCGTTCTTATTATGTAATTACTAAAACACGTGACTGGTTCAATTTATATGGGATTTGAGTAACTATCAAGATAATTAAAAATGACCAATAATTTTATTACAGTTATAAATTACCCCATTTCTAAATGTGTTCACTGTAGTTTCAGTTCATGTCTTAGTAACTGTATATTAAATTCAAAATATGAATTTAAGTATATATAGAATAACTAACACCCTTCAGTAATTGTTCAGTTAAATATACATGCCATCTCAAAAGAGGAATTGATGTAGTCAAAGACGTTCTTACTTTTCAAAGCCTTTATTAAGTAGGCAGGACATTTATTCCTCAAAGTTGGTAAGAATGTCGTTGACAGGGAAATGGATGTGTTCCGGAGTTGTCTACCAACCTTTTTGGTTGAATTTCTAAAGTAACTCAGGTGTGGTAAAAATTAACTATGCTTTAAAGTAAAATTGAGATCTTTATTCCTAACTTAAATTAAAAATATCAATAACTGTTTGTATTTTTTTTCTTATTAGAAATATATTTATCAACGGTTAATGATAACTAGTTATCATTCACCTATACCATAACACCTGTTGCTCAAATTCGAGCAATTGCTAAGTATCACAGGCGTTACTTCAAAACTAATAACAGTCATTAATTTCCTATGACTAAAAAAAATCTACTCAAAGATAATGCTATCAATTACTCCACTCCAGTTATCGAAACTGAAAACGAACTCACTCTGAAAACAAATGCTCACTCCACTCCAGTTATTGAAACTAAAAACTAACTCACTCTGAAAACGAACGCTGTTGTGTGCATCATGTGTTTACTATGAACAGC